AAATACAAAGAGCTGAGATATAACTCTCCCCTGATTTCAGTCCCTAATACCAGAAAAAAGAAGGAAAGGAAGAAAGAAAAGGAAAAAGAGGACCAGGGATACAGCCTAACGGCACAGCACCTGCCTGCCTGGCAAGGGTGAGGTCCTGAGTTTGAGTCCTGGTATGAGAGAGAGAGAGAGAGAGAGAGAGAGAGAGAGAGAGAGAGAGAGAACAGCACAGAATTATTGAAAATAAAGGGATGAAAAAAATACTAAAAGTAACAATAAGAAGGAGAAGTAGTAGCAACACTATCAGACAAAACAGGATTCAAAGCAGAAAACAGTCCAAAAATGGCATCTTGTGTGACTTAAAGAAAAGACTGGATTTGGGTGCCCAATAATAAAACTAGTTAAAATCTGTATTAAATGGCTGGGGATTTAGCTCAGTGGCATAAGCACCTCAGTGGCAAGTGCGAGGTTGTGAGTTTGATCCCTGGTTCCAAAATAAAAATAAAGAAATACAAAATTTTAAAAATCTGTATTAAGGCTCTTGCTGAAAGCAATTCAAATGCTGGTGTTTTTTCTTTCCATATTGAGAAATGAGCCCAGAGTCTCCACACTGCACTTCATCCTAAAACTTTACTTTTAGGTAGAGTCTCCCTAAATTACTAAATTGCTCAGGCTGGGCTCAAACCTGCAATCCTCCTGCCTCAGCCTCCCAGAGTGCTGGAACTACAGGAGCTTACCACCATGCCTGGATGACTAAGACACTTTAAAAGCTTCTTCAAATTAGCAGCTAGCTACTAAGAGGTGAAGGCTTCACTAGGTCAAAGTCTAAGAGACAGCAAGAATCCAGGGTGCTGAGAGGAGCCCTGAGGCTGCTTTTGTTCTCGGGACTTCTGCAGATTGGCTGAAACTGAGTTTAGCTTTCAATAGCTTCAGTTTGGACAGAGATCTAGTAGAGGGGCTGCCCAGACACGCAGACAGGCTCCACCCCGAGCCTGGAAACCCGAAGGACAATACCATTAGGACCAGGACCGCAAGAAGATGAGTTTTACAGCCAAGCAGAGCAGTGCGAAAAGATCAAGAAAAATAAAAGGCACAAATAATTCCAGAAACAAAACTATTAAATAATCACAGATACAGTAAACATTAAAATGCTTGGAGTATACTATTATGCCTGTAATTTTGAAACTTCCGATAAAATGGCCAAAGCACTAGAAAAGTACCATGTACTAAAATAGAGGTAGGAAGCTGGCGAGATGGCACACGGCTGTGATCTCAGTGCTTAGCAGGCTGAGGCCGCAGGTGCGAGGGACCATTTTCTGCTGCAAAATAAAACCACCAATTGATAAACTGGTTAATTATAGTAACTGAGGATATGTTAATCAGAAGAGGAGTTAGTTTTACAATAAGCTTTTAAGCCAGATCATGCTATTTCTTATATAGCATGAGAACTCATGGCAATCTTCCTGCCTCAGCCTCCAGAGTACTGGGATTACAAGCCTGTACCACCACACCTGGCTTTTTTTTTTTTTTTTAGACGTGTGTTGGGAGTGGTTGCAGCTGGAAACTGACCTGGAACAGGACCATCCAAGAACAAAGAGCACCCAGGGCAGGCCACATGAAGAAGCTGCTTCGGCCCAGACAACACCTAGCCCCAAGACAATCTGAGCAGTGGGTTGCGAGGACAACAGGGTGACATTAAATTGCTAAACGATATAAATAAAGGCCTCTTCAGAGAGAGGCCAGCTCCTCTCCTCCCATCAGGAGGATAAGGGCTCCACCTGGCCCTAGCTCGGTTTCTTCTGTATTTTTTCATCCTCTCATGGTCCTTTGCCCCAAGAACCTCAAGGGCCGCGTGGGCCGTGGCAGTTTCCCTGTGTAATTCAAACTGGTTTTGAACTCACAGTGTAGCCCACGCTGACCTTGAACTCACAGCAATCCTGCCTCAGGCTCCGGAGAGCTGGGATTATAGGCATGAGTCACCACACCCGGCTATAAATCTTAGTATGAATGTTAGTACAATAATCATGATCACGCCAGTAGCTGGCTGAGAAGTTGCTTCACATGACTCAGCATTCCTGCACAAGAAAATCTAGTGTCACTGGGCAGTATCACTGCTAGCACATGCCTATAATCCCAGCATTTAGGAAGCTGAGGCAGGAGGATTACAGCAAGGTCAAGGCCAGCCTTGGACTACATAGTGAGACCCTGTCTCAATGAAACAAAACAAAATAAAGCAAAGTAAAACAAAACCAAACACGTGCTCTCTAGTTTTTGTAGAAAACATGGCCTTGTTCTGTGCCCCCCTCCCCCCAGTCTACAAGGCTTCAGTGTACACAGTGAGGAGCCATGTTGTTTGTGGTTCCCAGGTAGGCAGGCAGTTAGGCAGTAGCGGACCTTGAGGACAACGCTGTATGAGGGCCTAAACAGACCACAGCCGTGATGCCTCTGTGAGCTCCACCGCACAGACGCCTGGAGGCCCCACTTGCTCATCCTGACCCTCAGGTACCCAAAGGAGGCACCCAGCATTCAGAGCTGGGCCCACACCAGTGATTCAGAAGGGCAGCTTTGTATACAAACCCTCCTACCCTGGGCTGAGCCCCAGTTAGATTCTTCTGTGATTAAGGCCCTTGAGAGAACAGGTTCTACCTGAAAGGAACAAGAAAGCCATTCTTGAGATATTGATATTCCAGAGTAACCCTAAGAGAAATGTCCATGTAAACAAAACAGTGCTAAGTAAGCGTCACAGCTCCCTGAACCCCAGGAGTAACTTTTTCTTTTTCCTGGGTCAGGGTCTTGCTAAGTTACTAAATTGCTAAGGCTGGGCTCAAACTTGCAATCTTCCTGCCTCAGCCTCCTAAATGCTGGAATTATAGGCATGCACCACTATACCCAGCTCAGAAACAATTTTTGTGTGCATAAAAATGTGTCTAGACCTGTCCTCCAAACAGATGTCTTTGTGACAGTGCCTGGCCCCTCTATGTCTACCTCACAGTAATTTCTGCCTGTTTTTCTGTGTAGATATCAACATTTCTACCTGTGTTTCTACCTTGTGTATCTCTTTATTTTTTCTTTTTTGGGAACCTAGGACCTTAATACTGAACTATATACCAGCCCTTTTTATTTTTGGAAACAGGGTCTAACTAAGTTGCTAAATTGCACAGGCCAAGTTTATACTTGCGATCCTTCTGCCTCAGCCTCCCTGAGTGCTGGGCTCACCATGCTCTGACAAGTCTGCATTCTGTCATCGAAGGCACAGAAGAACTGAGGACCAGAAAGTGAGAGTGGGTTCCTGCTGTGTCAGGACCACGTCCGGTGGTGACGTCATCACCCAGCCTGTTATTGATGTAACAAACAAATTGCCAGCTTTAGTCTCTAGCAAGAGAATCGGTCTTCATGCCAGTCACCTCACACACCCTGAGCTCTGATACCTTCCCGAAATGTGTAAAAGACAATAATCCCCAAAATAAAGAGGGGGTGGAAGAGGAAAAAAATAGGAAAAGAAGGGAGCCAAAGAGAAGCCCAGAGAAGTGCTTCAAGTGACCCCTGCCATTTCCCATAATGCCCTGGCACAAGGGAAGGCTGTGGATTGTAAAAAAATTATTTTCAGACTTACGTATATTCTACATATTTGATGCAAGTTTTTCTCCCATTTTTTGCCTTTAACTTTGATTATACGATTTTTTTTGTTGTTGTTCTTTTTGAGACAGGGTCTCGATATGCAGTTCAGGCTGAGTTTGAGCTCACTTTGTAGCCCAGGCTGGTCTCGAACTCACAACGATCCTCCTGCCTTAGCCTCCTGAGTGCTGGGATTACAGGTGTGAGCCACCACGCCCGGCTATAGGACGGGGGTCTCACTATGTTGTCCAGGCTGGCCTTGAACTCGCTGTGTAGCCCAGGCTGGCTTCTACTTTGTTATGAGCCTCCTGCCCCAGATTCCTGAGTGCTGGGATGCTAGGCATGATTTATACTATTTCTTTTAACAGAAGTTTTACAATTTTTTTTTCAGTTTTAAAGATTTTAAGAGAGAATTAAAGTATATTTTAATGCAGCTGGGTGATTTAGCAGACCATGTCTCAAAAAAACAATGCAAAAGGGCTGGAGCTGTACCTCAGTGCAAAAGCCTTGGGTTCAGTCCCCAGCACAATCTTTAAACAAATATAACCCGCATTTAAAACATCTGAAGTTGCCATGGGATCAGGGTTTAATTGCTTCCTGCTCCACATTTTTGTTTGTTTGTTTGTTTGTTTGTGACAGTCTCTTTATGTAGCCCAGGCTGGCTTCAAACTCATGGCAATCCTCCTGCCTCAGCCTCCATGTTTATTGGTTGAGTGATTGATTGTACTGGGGATTGAATCCAGGGAGCTTTAAGCTACACCCACAGCTCTTCCCTTTTGTTTTGAGAGACGCCTTATTTCACAAATTGCCTGATCTGGCCTCAAATTCGGGATCCTCCTGTTTCAATCTTTGGAATAACTGGGTGTGGGTAGAGGGAGTTTACCTCTCCTCCAGTGTTTAACCACTTCTGGTTTGGCATTCACTGAGGAAAGCTTCTTGTGAACTTGAACAGTTGGAGCCTTCTGGAATCCAAGTATCTTTATTGTATCATTTTTACTGCCGTCAATATAAAATTACAGCACTTTTTTTTTTTTTTTTTACAACACTGCTTTAAAAAGAAATACTGGAGTTAACCGATGGCAAGCGACCATAGCCTTGGAACAGAGATTCAAGTCCCTTTGAATGACATAGTCGCTGTGGAAGAGGTTACAGGAAATTTTAGTCACAGAACCAAAAAAAAAAAAAGGTAAGCGGAGGTCAGGAAGCGGGGTACAGAAAGCTGAAGGTTCCCGGAGTTCAGCTGCTTGTCGCATTCCCGCCTCTAGGGGGCGCGGAGTGCCGGGGTCAGCACGGTCCCAGGTTTATCGCCCAGCCCGCAGCGCTGAGTCAGGCGCATGCGCAGAGCTGATTGGACTAGGCTTTTTAAGACAGCTACGGCAGGCTTAGCTGTGCTGCAACGCTGGTCTCTGCACGGTCAGCCGGTCAGGCTGCGGAGCTTCGCGTGGACGCGGCCTCTGCAGAGAACTTCGTTCGCACGGACGTGGACAGCTTGTTGACTGTTAATTCTAGTGACACATTTTCTTAAGCTGCAGGTGAAGGACGCTTTGACCTTAGCAATTAAGTTTAGCAAACTGAGAACAAATCAGTCCGTGCAAATGAGGGACAACATGGCTTTCCGCGCAGACGGGCGCCTGCTTGGGGGGCCGTGAGCCACTGAACACAAAATCCCAGCCCTGGGTGTAGAAACTGGCTTATTTTGGAGCTGTGCCCAATAACGTCTAACCCGAGCCAGAAGCTTTAAATGTTATGGGAGCACATCTCTGTCTTTTACACTTTTGGGCTTTGTAACTTGCTTCAAAAGGGATTCTCCACCCCGACATTATGTTTAAAGTAATATAGGTTAAAACCCCTAAAACATTTTGTTTTCCTGCCTAAATGTTTACCGATTTTGATGTGATGGAACGGGAGGTTGGTTGGTTTTTTTCCCCCTTCACTGGGTAGACAATTATCTCAGGTGATATATCAAAGAAGCCACATCTTTACAGGTTTTTTTTCTTTCTTTCTTTCTTTTTTTGGTACTGGGGATTGAGCTCATGACCTTGCACTCGCCAGACAGGCGCTTATGCCACTGAGCTAGATCCTCAGCCCCTCTTCACAGATTTTAAGTGTCACTTCTTTTGTAAACTTCATTTGCACATATACATAGATCTGCTTCTATACTTTATTGTATCCCACCGATTTATTTATCGGTAATACTGTGGCCTGAACTCAGGGAGTCCTGACTTACTCTACCAGCCCCATTCCTCCTTTTCATAATTTTATTTTGAGGCTGGGGCACACTGAATTACGCCAGCTGGCTTTGACTTGTGATTGTCCTGCCTCAGTTTCCCAAGCAGCTGGAGCATGTACTACCATGCATGGTAGATTTATCTATTTTCAATCTCATCAGCTTTCTGTTATTAAATCTGTATTATTTTATAGGCTGATAGCACATTTTCCGTGAATGTTGGTTTTGGAGGACTCAAGCTGCATCTCCTCGACTATTTCACTTCCAGAAGATAATCGGAATTTCTGAGTTCCAATTTAAAAATCCTACGAAAATTTGGTTGGGATTGCTTTAAACTTATAAATCAATTTTATTGTCCTGGATGACAATAGAATAGAAACAGCTCAGCCTGGCACAGTGACCCACACCCATAATCCCAGCTCTCTGGGAGGTCAAAGGAGGAGGATGGTAAGTTTGAGCACAGCCAGGGCAACTTTGGTACACAGGGAGAGCCTGTCCCAGAATAAAAAGGAGGAAGCCAGGTTGCCTTTCCCTTGAGCCACGCCGACCATCGGGGCCCAGGCAAAGAGAAGCCAGACTGGGTGTCCTGTAAGCACACCAGGGTGCCAGCTGAGAATCAAGACTCCCAACACCCCCAATACAAAAGCTTCTAAATGTTTGCTTGACTGACTTTGCAGGACTAAAGGTGGATAATCTAAGTATCTATTATTAGGAGGATGACAGGTTACAGTATGGCAAATGTGGGGGATTTCCTTGTCTTGTTTTTGAAGTCCAAATGTTTTGTTCTTGCTGGTTTTTTTGTTCTGATTTATTGTTTTGTTTTATTCAATGCTCTGTTTTGATTGGCTCTATTCTGTTTTGTTTTATTTGATTTTACTATGTCTTAGGAAATAGATCACAAATTGTGAAGATAACAAGATATAGTAGCCATTGTTGGTGACCTATTGTCCTGTTTTGAGGTTCTGTACCATTTTTAAAACTTTTTTTTTATTATTTTGAAGGTAGTAGAATACAACAGAACAAGACAGAACAAAGCCAATTGAGACAGTGCAGTGAAATTGGTACAGAACCTCACAGCAGGTTACCAGGATAACAGGAATAGGTACCATAGTATATCTTGTTATCTTCACAACAGTTGTTCTTATAATCAGGTATAGCAAAATCAAACAAAATGCAGAACATTATAGAACGTATCAAAACAGAATATTGAATAGAGCAATACCATTAATCAGAGCAAAGCAAAACAGTGATAAAAATATTTGCCTTCAAAGAGATAGTAGAAGGAAATCCCCCCTATTTGCTGTATTGCATGTGGTCAACCTCCCAAGAGATGCTCTGGCTCCCATTTGATACAGGTGTGAAGTGAGTGGGGTGGGATGTTTGTGGGATGTTTGATTCTCAGCCGGGCGTGCCCGTAGGCTCACGGCTGCTTACCAGGGAGGCGAGCTGGTTTCCCAGCATCCCAAGTTCCAACATGGCGCAGATCCCTGGAGACGCTGGTGGTTCTCGCCCTGGGACAGCCCCAGCTTGCCCGAGCCACAGCCGCTTACCAGGGAGGCGAGCTGGTTGCTTTGGTTCTGTACCATTTTCACTGTTTTGTTTTGATTGGCTTTATTCTGTTTTGTATTGTTGGGTTTTATGCTCCTTAACAAAAGAAAAAGGGTGCAGCTCAGTGGGAGGCCACAGGCGCAATCCTCAGCACCCCAAATAAATAATCAGACCCCTAAAACAACATTTCCCACGTGACGTGAGTGCCCAGTACAAGCAACTGTCCCTGCAATCCCTTTGTGGGTGTGTGCTATTTGATTCTGACCTGTAACCTGGAAGAGGCTGCACTGAGTCTGAATTGGCCAACAGAGGTCCCCACAGATGGCTCTTGTTGTGGGGTCCCCCTGGTACTTCAGAAGGGCATTGTGACTTCAAGTGACAAGCAGGGCTTGGATGCAAAAAGCCCACTGAACCTGAGTTCATTGCAGAGCTTTGGTAACAGCCTCCCCTCCCACCTGATCACAGAGATGCTCCATGTCTACTCCGCACACTGTGCCGGCCAGGGCCAAGGCCCAGGAGGATCCTAGTGGCACCTGCTCACTAAAGCGGTCACAGATGGCTCGCTGCGGGAGAGCTGCACGCTTGTCAAGACTCAGTAGTGTTTTTTTCCCTCAAAACTGTGTTGGCCAGTTATACAGATATCATAATCACCTTGCTGTTGGATTTGATCTCTCTTCTGTGTTGTGACAGTTTAATTTGTTTGGTCTTTTCTCTTTCTTTCTTTTTTTTAGACAGGTTCTCACATTGTGGTTCAGGCTGGCCTTGAACTCACTGTGTAGCCCAGGCTGGCCTCAGACTCACAATGACCCTCCTACCTCAGCCTCCAGAGTGCTAGGATCACAGGTGTGCACCACCACACCTGGCTATTGTGACAGTCCTGACTCCTATTGAAATAAAGTCTTCCTTGTCATATTTAACAAGTATCTGGTGCAATTTTATTTTATGTATTTATTTGGTACCAGGGATCGAACTCATGACCTCACGCTCTCACATTTACCAGGCAAGCACTTGAGCCACTGAGCTAAATCCTCAGCCCTATTTTTTAAAAAACATTTTTTTGGAGACTACGTTTCTTTAGTTTTGAGTCCAGACTCAAACTCATGATCCTTCTGCCTCGCTCAGAGTGCTGGGTTTGTAGCTGTGTACTCTGCACTCAGCTTTTTAAATTTTTTTCCAGTATCAGGGATTGAACCCAGGGCCTTTGCACTGAGCTGTTTTTTTTTTTTTTTTTTTTTTTTTTTTTTGTAACAAGGTCTTGCTAAGTCAGTAATCCGTCCAGACTGGGCTTGAATTTATCATCTTCCTGCCTCAGCCTCCCATAGCGCTGGGGTTCCAGGTCTGTACCACCATGTCTGGCTTACACTTTGCTCTTGTGTGTATTCTCCAGAAACATATTTATTTGAATTCTTTGCCCATTTGTCAAAAAGGGGAATAATCTTTAATTCTGCTTCCTAATTTTAAGTGTAAATCATTCAGTTGGGCCTAGGCCTTGGGTTCTAGCTGCAGTACTGCAAAATAAATTTTTAAAAATAAAAGTTAAAAAAAAATTACCGCAGAGGATGTCTGAAAAAAAAAAAAGTACGAGGCTGGGGATTTTGCTCAGCAGCACAAGAACCTGGCTGGCATGCACAAGGTTGTGAGTTCAATCCCCAATACAAAAAAATAAGTAAAAGTAACTGCTATGGTTTGTGTCTGGATGTCCCCCTGGGTCTCACACCGTCATGGAAGACAGGCTATTCTGGAGAGAGCTGAATCTAGAGCTTGTAACTGATTCATGGTCCAGTGCTGAGATTGAATGTGAGTGCTGCTACCCCAGGTAGCCTGCATACAATATGAGGAACAGGAGGAGCCCCCCACTTTTGCTGTCTCCAGCCACCATAAATGGTCGTCCTTTGCATGTGCCACCCTGCCTCGGAACCAGTGGGTTATGAGCTGAAACTTCTACAAACTGTGTTAAATTAACCTTTTCTCCTTTAGCTTTGGGTGTTGAGTATTTTGTCTCAGCAACCAGAGACAAGTAACTAAGCCAGTAACCCGACTAATAATAGCGACAAATTGCTTGCTGCATATTTTGTAACACAACACTGTTTACACCAAGTAGAGAGCATCTGGTCTGGTGTTCAAAATACCAGTTTTTTACTGAGTTGTGAGTTTTTAAATGGTGGACTTTAGAATATGTGAAATATTTTTCAAGGAGGGAAAAATACCAGGAAAAAATCCAAAACAACATTTGCTTTTTTCTCCCCGCTAGACAGAGTCTCACTCAGCTGTCCAGGTGGCCATGGACTCACTGTGTGGCCCAGGCTGGCCTCTAATTCTCAGTGATCCTCCTGCCTCAGCTTCCCAAGTGCTGGGATTACTGGCATGTGCCACCATGCCCAGCGCATTTGCTTTGGAAACTAAATCCCAGCTCTGCCCCACATTCCTGGGCCCGTGGACAACTGCTTGACCGCTGAGACTTAGATTCATAACATGTAACATGGCAATAAGATTTGCCTTTTCTTCATCTCACTCGTAAACTTGCCTTTCCCCAAATACTTGGTGGCCAAAATATCCCATTCCCTTAGACCAAGATGCAGCAGACATGTTGCCCTGACCCAAAGACGGTAAGGCAAAGTTGTTTTTTTTTTTTTTCCTCAAAGTTTCTGAAGGAGATTCACATAGATACTGGGTCAGAATAAGGTTCTCTCAGGGGCTGGGGATTTAACTCAGTGGCATAAGCGCCTGCCTTGCAAGCACATGGTCGTGGGTTCAATCCCTGGTACTGGTAAAAAAAAAAAAAAGAATAAGATTCTCTCCTTCTGAAATTGTAACTTGTAAGGATCATGGGAGCCATAACTACTGGGGCCATCATTTCTATCACATGGAAAAACCACAGAGAAAATGAAGTTAACATGGAGGAGTTGTAGGCCTTTATCTATATTTCAATCAGGAGGCTGAGGCAGGAGGATCTCTGTGAGTTTGAGAACAGCCTAGGCTATGTAGTCGGTTCAAGGATATCATTTTAGGGAAGGCTGGACAATTTAAAGAGAACCTATCTCAAAATAAAATTATTTTATTTATTTATTTTTTTTTTTTGGTCTTTTTCGTTTTTATCGGTACCAGGGATTGAACTCACGACTGCCTGCTTGCAAGGCAGGCACTTATGCCGCTGAGCTAAATCCCCAGCCCCAAATTATTTTATTTTATATTTTATTTTATGGAGCTGGGGATTGAACCCAGGGCCTTTATATTTGGCTGCATCCCCAGTCTGTTTTCTTTCTTTTTTAAATTAGATTTTATTGGTACATTTTAGATATATGTAATGATTACATTCATCATAGAGAGTTTGTACCTGTACATGATATAATGTGATTTTTTTCCCACTCACAAAATAAAATTAACATTAAAAGGGTTGGGGGCATAGCTCAGTGGCAGAATGTTTCTTTAGTTCAATCACCAGTGCCAAAAACAAAGAAAAGAAAAAAAGTAAAAATGAAGCACACAAATAATGAGCTAGGTGTGGTGGTACACGCCATACGTCCCAGCATTCTGGGAAGGCAAAGCTGGGGACTGCAAATTTGAGCCCAGCCTGGGCAACTTAGCTAAAGGCTGCTTTAAAAAAAAAAAAAAAAAAAGGACGGAGAGAAGCGGGGAAGGAGGAGGAGAGAAAAGGGGAGGAGGAAGGGGAAAGGGGAAGGGGAGGTGAGGAAAGGAGAAGAGGAGGAAGAGGAGAGAGCAAGGAAGGAAGGAAGGAAGGAAGGAAGGAAGGAAGGAAGGAAAAATCTTTTGCAAATAGGAAGGGAGCCAGGAGAGGGAAGGAGAGAGATGCAGAAAGAATTACAGTGTGTTATGTCGTGAAGAACGCACTCATTATGTACTGCAAACATGTACAAACAAAATAAAAATTTAAAAAGGCAGCCATGAAGAAGTAGAGGTAGATGGCCAGGCATGGTGGCTCATGCTGGTAATCCCAGCACTTGGGGAGTTGAGACAGGAGTATTGTCACAAGTTCAAGGCCAGCCTGAACCACATAGTGAGATCCTGCCTCAAAAAGTCAGAGCAAGAGAGAGAGAGAGAGAGAGAGAGAGAGAGAGAGAGAGAGAGAGAGAAAGAGAGAGAAAGAGAGAGAAAGAGAGAAAGAGAGAGAGAAAGAGAGAAAGAGAGAAAGAGAGAAAGAGAGAAAGAGAGAAAGAGAGAAAGAGAGAAAGAGAGAAAGAGAGAAAGAGAAATAGAGAGAGGAGAGAGAGAGAGAGAGAGAGAGAGAGAGAGAGAGAGAGAGAGAGAGAATTTATTTTCAAGTAGATAAAGAGTTAGATCTTCATGCAAGAAGGCAGACAGTGCCAGGGAGGTATCTGCCTTGACTGTGAGTTTAGATAAACCTGTGTACAAACAGGTATGGTGGGGCACTCCTATAATCCTAGGCCTCAAGCTCAGGCAGAAAGACTGGCTCAGGAGGCCAGCTTGGGCACATAGTGAGTTCAAGACCAGCCTGAACTGCATAGTGAGACCCTGTCTCAAAAAACTCAAAATCTAAAAAGAAAGAAAGAAAGAAACAAACAAACAAACAACAAAGAAACAAAGAAAGAAAAAGAAAAATCAAGTCCCAGTCCAAGGAAGGAGGCCTTCAACGAACACATCTTTCCTGATATCACCAAGCTATAGACCTTGGCAGCCAGGAATGCTGTGTACCTTGTTTGGTGCTAGATGGCTGGGTGATCAGATTCAGAAGAGTATGTACAATGTGTAACCTTTAACATGTCATTTTGCTTTGGAAGAACATTTTAGATCTGAGACCTCACCAATGATTATAAAAGGTACTGCGCATTAAAATCTTTGTTTCTGACTTCCGGGAGAACATGGCGGACAGATAGCAGATACTACGGAGGCTCTCTGAAAGGCTTGGTTCAGAAGTCAGGAATGGTGCGGACTAAGGAGACATAAGCCGGTGGAGATATGCTCTGATGACTCAGGAACGAACTGGGCTGAGAGAAACCAATTTGGAATGCAGTCCTGGCGCTAAAACAGGAACAGAAAAGCCTCGGTGTAGAGGCTGGACCCCGCGCCATTGGAAGCCGCAATTTGGGTTTCCCGCCGTGCGGCTGGCTGCCTCTACATCGGCTCGGCGGGGAGAGAGACGCGCGGAAGCTCTGAGAACGGGAGTCTGTGAACGGAGTCGAAAACAGGACGGGCAGGGAGGCGTACACTGACTTGTGGTGAGGTGAGTGAGAGAAACTAACACTCTACCACAGTTTGACTCCAGCGGAGGACTTTCTGGGCTCGGGCAGTCCTGCGGGAGCAGGGCGCGGTGGCGACTCCAGCCACACATCCCCCTTTCGGACGGGATTGGTGAAAAGTGCCTGGCCTGCGTGACGCTGCCGGCGGACCCCGTAGGCTGGCCCAAACCATATCCCAGAGCCTGACAGTGGCCGGGAGGGGCAGGCCCCATGTAGGCTGCCTGATCTGCAACTTCCTGGTGTGCTGCGGTGGGTGGGAACACCTAACCAGAGCAATTCGATCAGGCTGTGGCTGACAGGGAGAGAAGCTGGGTCTCCTATGTAAGCTTGCATATATAAGGAACAAAGAATATGGGAAGAGGCAGCAACAAGAAGGGCTCCTCAGCCCCCAATTCTGAGAAACAGGCAATAGCGGACACTGCACCAATAGACATAAAGCGCCATATAGAGAGCCTCATAGATCAGTTCAGGAATGAAGTTATCAACGACCTGAAGCTAGAAGTAAGCAGAAGAGTTAGAGAAATGCTAAGCACCACCCAAGAAAAAACAGATGGTGGAATGGAAGAACAGAAAAAGAGGGGAGAATTGTTTGATGGAGAAAACAGAGAAAGCATAGAGTACATGAAGCAGGTTCAAAGGGACTACCAAGAAACCAAGAAGTCTATCCAAGACTGGCATAACAGCTTG